TCTCTCGTCTAACAACACAAACTTACTCTGAGAGAATGTAGAAAAGATTTTAAGGCATTTCATGAGCTACTGGGTAAAATATTTTGAGGTTAGCAAATAAAATTGAACTTTATTTTTGACTATTGTGATAACATGTAGATAAAATACCCTTAAACTCAACAGATGTTAAGTTCTGGTGTAAAACAGTTTACTGGATAAATCCTAACCTTTGCTTCAGGAAACCACAGAGGATCGCAGCTTTGTCACCGAAGCTGAAAGAGCTGCTAACGTTACATTAGGTTGACTAACACCGATGGCCCTTTTGTTGCTTGTTGAACTCCACAAACTAACTCTTTTGAACTCTGTATCCCCAGTATGGCATCATAACTGTCATACATCCTTTCAACTTCCCGACAGTCCTTGTGATACTCATTTATGAAGTGCATTTCTGTTGGCAAACTTAACCTACTCTAAGCTTAAAATTGTGATATTTCATCTGAATCACTTATGTCTCGCTTAAAAATTCTCCAAAAATAAAACATTCACACCAGGTTCGGTGAAAAAAAATATAATTCTGCACCCCTTAGCGCAACCATGAAGCCATCAGTGTCTCAATTGCAACCAACAGAGACGTTTCAGCTGAACTGCAGCCAGTGTTTACGGACTGGAACGGGGAAAAAACGCACACAAATTAAAAATATAAGTGTTAAAATATCTATGGCATCCAGAGCCACCATCTTTCCAGCATTGATAACGGCTGTGGGCTCTTTGTAAAATGTTGTAAATGGTGATTACGTATATTTTCGATTTTTGTAAAACGAATAATCAAAGTAATTTTTACTTTAATTTTTTTTCTTTTTTTTTTTTAATGATTTATGGCAGTAAAACTGCATCATGCTGCACACAAATCATTTTAAAGTTCTACCTCCTTCCAGTCAGGCTTGTTCTGTTTCCATAGATGTGCAGGACTTTATATTTCAGTAAAAAAAACGAATGTGACAGCAGCAACAAACAACCAGATGAACCCAGTCTTCACTCCAATCAGAACCGCTGTATGATAGAAGCTAATCAATGGGACGCAAAACTGATTATCAGCAGGNGATAAAGGAGGAAGAGGAGGTCTTAAAATGACCAAATGGATGAAGGGGAGGAAGTGCAGGAAGATGGAGGCGATGGAGTTCAGAAGAAATGGACACGATTTATGACTGCAATATTTACCTGCTGTGGTCTTGGTGGTTGTAGCCACGGTGGTCGTTCTTTCAACTGAAAAATGAAATAAAAAAATATTTAATTGATCTGCACGACTAAGCATTTTTTCAAAGTTGAAAGGATCCTTTGATGTTGGTTTCAAACTGGAAAACCCCGTCCTCCTCTAAAATGGTTTACAGACTTAAGAACGGAACACGGGAGATGAAAAGAAAGGTGACAAATTGGTTCCGTGATAAACAAAACAAGTTGGCAAAGCAGCCAGAGCGCCAAACTAATTACTGTGAAGACATTTACAACATGAGCACAGTCGGAGGAGCAGAATTCCTGGAGTTGTAGGAACGTTAAATTTACCAGTCGTCTCGACGAGGATCACCTCGTCACTCTCGACCTCGTTGGCGTAGATGGCGGCCAGGAGGACTTCGTACTCTGTGGAGGGGCTGAGTCCGTCTATCACGTAGGTGTTGATATTCCCATCTACCAGAACCTGAAACAGACCAGGAAAAATCAGTGGCAACGTACACCTGAAGCAGAGGACTAAAAGATCAGAAGCATAAAAGGTTTAAAAGCATTTTCTGTGCATGGCATTACGTGTACAATTTCCGGTTGCAACCTTTTTGAGCAAAAAAAAAGCTATAAAGAGGGGTGGGGTCATTTAGATTTTTGCGTTGTTATCTTCGAGTCATAAACCAGAAAAAACAAGTCAGTAACGAGACACAAATCTGCTTGTAGATGCAGGTTTGTGTAGTGTTGCCCCACTCTCGGTGAAGGGCTCAGTGAAGTTGATGGACATTTTGTGGTGATGGATGATGTTGTTGGACATCCAAAGCGTCCTAAAGATGTTGGATGGGTGTCGAGTTAATGAGGTTGTTGATGCATGTTTGCATGAGTGTTGTCCCACTTTCCATGACGGGCTTGGTGAAGTTGATGGACATTTTGTGGGACTGAACGATGTTGTTGGACATCCAAAGCGTCCGATAAATGTTGGATGTCTAAACAGTCTGCAGGCTGTCATAAGACTAGAACCTTTTCAGCTTCTACAAGGGCAGTGCATCTTCTGGAGACATGAGTCTTGTTGAGACGTCAAGTGATGGCGGCAAATGAGCAGGACTTGAGGATTTTATTTTGATATCGCTGGGCATTGACATTGCCATTGATTAAATTCAGATATGTTACTCATTCGCCTCCGCAGGCCATTGACATCTGCATAGCATTCCCCTGTATGACCACAAATACGTCTGTCATGATTGCCATCTGCTCTGTACAGCTACAAATGAGATCCATCAGCCCAAAAAAAACGCCTTCCATCTCTCTAGTGTCCAATGAATGCGACTGGTTGTCCACTGCAGCCTATTATACTGTTCTATCAAGGCCTGGGTGCAGACGATGAGGATCTAGAACCAGCTTCCCTCAGGTGTTTCCGCACAGCCGGAGCAGATAATCTGCGGTTGTTCACACCAACAATCTCATCAGTGGCCTCTGTAGCTGAACGGTTTTGTAGATGTTGGAGTCAGATGTGAGGATCCTTGTTCCTGTAATCTGTAGTCATGCGGTGGATTGTCTTTTCAACTGCTGAAATGATTTCTTAGACAAAAAACAGCGTTGAGTTCAAGTGCCTGGTTGCAGCCCTCAGATGCAACATCCAGCATCCACCTTGGCTTGGTGTCATTTGAATAAAGCTGCATTTTAGGCTTGCCTCCAATATTTACCGTCAAAGGAGAGCTTGTATACTGGTCCCACTATCTGATCAGCGTCCTTGAAAGCCTCACCTGACTCCACTGTGGCATCATCCTTTTCTAACCACAACAATAGACAGAACTTTTTCTTCAAGTCAGAAAAGAAGATTATTTGCACGCAGTGTTCATATTTGTATTCAGTTTAAATATTTTCATACATCACAGCAATATATTTGAAGCGAAAGTACAGACAGAAGGTTAAAAGATACTGTCGAAGATCAGCAAATCAAGGACCAACAGGTGAAGACGCTGATAACACGTCTCGCTTTGGGGATTATCATCTCTGAGATTATCTTCCAGTCAGAGACTCGGTGTGACAGAACAAGTTGAACCTTTTTCACTTCTGCTTTATTTTATATCTTAATGAATTCGTCTGATCCATGCGTATCAGATATGAGATAAAACTGTGTTTTAGTCAACGATGAACAAGAAAAAGACAGATACACATGGTTGTTGACTGGTTCAGGTTTGGTTGTGGCTATTTTGCAGATTTCTTTTGGATAGTAGTGGCGGAAAAGACAACAAGGAAAAAGAAAATCATTATTTTCGTCTCAGGCGACGCTGCTCGACTGGAACACAGTGAATTGCTCTTTTCAAGTTACGATAAAGAGCAACAATATTCATGTTTGTCAGAATCTTGTTTACAAGTGAAGGCCAATAACACAGACACTGTATGTCACACCTGCCCACTGAGCAATTTCCCACCGATTGAAAGTACAAAAGATGTCTAAGTTGAAGGCTCTGCAAGGGAAAGTAACAAGAAACCCAAGTGGGAACCAAACCTGTAACCCTGACAAACTCATCTATTTATTTTATCAGCAGCTTCACAAATGAGAAATACACCAGAGGCTTATTTTGCGTATGTTAGAAGGTGAGTTTATATTTTAAAAAATGGAGGACAGCAAACTTTGACGTGCAGCTGGGAAATGGAAAAGTGATTTTTTTTTTTTAGAACAAAATATGTAATATTTTAATTTGTAATAAATATGTAAAATAATATTTCAGTTGTGCATCTTCCACAAATAAAGTTGTCTCAGGAACATGAATATTTGGGAGCTTAACACCAACCTCCTCACTGTCTCCTCCGTCGGTGGGTGTCCAGATGAGTCGGTACAGCACCACGTCCGAAGCCGGGTGTTTCCACGACACCCTGAATCTGTCTGTGGAGACGTCACTGCTGCTCAGATCCATCGGGTCCGGGACAGTCTCTGCACGGACACAACAGTCACGGTTAAGATAATACCACAGCTGACTATTATAAGAAAGGCGGCATCCTAATAACATGTATTTTACTGGTGGTGAAGCTGTCGGTCACGGCCTCGGCTTGTCCTTCGTCGTAGATGGCAAAGACGCCGACTGTGTACTCGGTCAGGGAGGTCAGGTTTCTTAGCAACCAGGTTGTCACGCTGCCAACATCCACCTGTAGACACAAAATCAAGCAAGTTTGACTTTCACCTTGGTGGTTTGGTTTGGTCTTTGTGCCAAAGCCTGACTGTTGACATGACAACTCCAACAAACACAGAAACATGCAGTGAGTTACTCAGCACAGTTCTTTCAGACTTCCAAGTTTCTTCACTCTGATGTCAACACGGAGAAGCAAACTGCTCGCTGCATGACAGGTCTGCTAACCTCTGCAGCCTCCTCTCACCTCATTGGTCTGGACTCCTTTGGTCTTCACATACATGACTCGGTAACCTTTGACCTTCCTGGAGGCCGAGTCCCACGTGAGCCGGGCGGAGCTGTGGTCCACGTCTGAGAAACGCAGGTTCCTCGCAGGGATCAGTGGTACTAAAGGGCAGAAAACAAATCTACACTGTAAAACAAAACTGTAGTTTCATGGCATTTTTATTGTACAGATTGTTATAAAACAAGATGTGAATTTACAGGTCGAATGTAAAATGATATATAACCATATAATTTCCTTTTGTTGAAGAAGAAGAAGAAATGTAAGATTATTTTGACACAGACTGACTGTTAAAATACATTTGAAACTTCTAAAAAATACTTTGAACCACTCAGTTCTTCTAGTTCTGTTTAATATAAAGAGCAACAAAAGAACAATAAAACACACACAACACCACCTTACACTTAATATATCGAATTTCTTATTTCAGTGAGTCTCACAACTTTTTGCTGTTTAACTGTATTGTAAAAGAAATTGATAATTTGGCTTTAAATTGCACAGATTTGTTTTTAACTGTATTTTTTTTAGATTAAAAAAAATCTATAAAACCACAAAAGTAGAGTGTGAAAGTGTATGTCTAATGTAGAAATACATTGAAAACCAACATAATTCCAAGTTTTATGAAAAAAATGAAGTTTTTTAATTAAACAGATGATTAAAATGAGCAAATTTAGCATAATTTCAAATATTTCCTCCTATTTTAATGATGAAACTGTTTAATCAAGTTTACAACTGTGAATATATTTCTGAAATTAGATACAGTTAGTGACAATTGGCAGAAAAGAACGAGGTTTGCAGGTTTACATTGATTTTTTTTATAAATTAGAGATATCTCGTATAAGACGTTTTCACGAGTGTGTGACGTTTTGAATGAGTGTATTTTCATCAGCGTTTGATATCAATAAGTCCTAGTAATCTGTTCAAATACTGCATCATTATGTGTATAATTTATCCAATTGTTATTATGATATTGTAGGTAATTTCATTTTTTTTCATAATCTTCATTCAACCTTAAAAATCCTCCACAAAATAAATGTGATCTCCTGTAAAAAATAAAGCTAGAAAATCAATTTTAGTGATGAAAAATGACAGTATCTTAATGAGATGGTTATTTGCTCTTATTTATAAGATGTATTTGGTGCTCTGTGTGTTGAAACATTACCGTTTTTTGTGATTTTGCATCAAAATAACTTTATTCTACAGTGTCATTTAAAAAATTCCAAAAAACAAACAGGTATTGAAACAAGTAGTAAAACATCTATAGTATGTGGAGCGGTCTATTTTATTTTTTTTTCTTCCAGTATCAGTAACACGTGGCAAAATACTGTACATGTTGATTATATGTTGTTTTTTTAAAAAAACTTTTGTACAACAAGTAATCTAAGAAAGTTCACTTTTCCTTTGTCTTTTTTGTGTTTAATGTCAAATGCTCGTGTCACTTCCTTTCCATCCGAATGATCTCCTTCTTGAAGTTCATCGTCACAACAAGCTCTCAGAAATTATTATTGGGTTCAATTTATACCTCATTCGGTAAGAATGACAGGATTCTGGCATATGCTGTTGTGTTCATCCTCATTCAGCAGCAGGAACACAAAACAAACACAGCCGAGCCTTAATAAGAAGTCTGATTTAAACAGAGCTGCTGCTATCATGGCTCATGATTCCACACACACTCGTGGGGTTTGGAACAAGGGTTATTGGACTGCAGTATTTTAATTATAAAGTGGACAGAACCTCATTACATCACTCACACTCCCTCAGGCTCTGTCTCTACTTCCTCTGTCTCTTTCATTTTTTCATGCCGTCTCTGAGGTACGACAAAGGTCTAAAAAAAAAAAAAAAAAGGAAAGAAAAAACGCTCCTGCCCTTACTTTTTAAAATTCAGCCACAGAATCCGATTCACTCTGATGCTCAGAAACTTTTCCGCTTAGAATTAAAGATCTGTTGTCTTTTTTTTTTAGAAAAAGAAAAAAAACCTGATCGCCGCCACCGTTGCTTCACCTCAATTATACCGAGGGTCAGAGTAAAGACAAAGCAGCAGAGAGGAAGTAGGGGAGAAACAGCGTCTGGAGGTGGTGTCGGGGTCAGCGTAGGAACGGGAAGGATGGGAAATTAAAAAGTTTAGAGATAGGTAAGTCTCAAAAGTTTCCAAAAGAATCCACATAAAGGTGTCTTCCACATTAAAAAGGAAAGCATTTAGATGATGCTGCGGCTCAGCAGGAGTCCTCTGAATGTCTGTAAAGTGAAGCTTTTCTCAAAAAGTTTTAAAAATGCTCTTGTTCTTTGCTTTTCATTACTACCAGCTTTTATTCTTTAACTGTCTGAACACCAAGCAGTTTCTGCAATATAAAGTCCTCTATAGAGATAGCACAGTCATGACTAGAAATAGAGAACTCAAAAAATGTTTAGTGTGCAGCACGGCACAGTTTTAATGCCATAAACCAGAAAAGAAAAAATAATAATAAAGTTGAATTTCTTTGATTACTTATTTTACAAAAATGTGAAAAACCTGGATTCACCATATTTACCCACAGCAGTTCTCAAGACTAGAAAAATGGTGTCTCTATATGCTGTGGATATTTTAACACTTGCAATTTTAATTTTCTTCTGTCGTGTCTCCATTCGACTCTGTAAATACTACCTGAAGTTCAGCTGAAACCTCTGGATTTTAGTCACATGACTGTTGGTTGCAGCTGAGTCACTAAGAGCTCTTGGGTGCACAATTTAGATTTTTTTTTCCCCGCAGAATCTGGTGTAAACGATGTATTTTTGCAGAATTTTCAGTGAAATGTTGAAAAAGGGATTTTGATTAAATATCCTGATTTTTTTAAGCTTAGATTTGGGTACGTTTCCCAACAGAAAGGCACGTAACAAATAAGTAGGGCTGTCAGAAAGTCGAAAATTCTGCAATTCTTCCTGGTTTTGCAGTTTCCTGCTGTGGTAAAAGGTAAAAGGCAAAATTTTGAATTAAAAAACAAAACAAAAACAAAACCCAGACCCTTGAAACTCATCTATGGGATTTGGAGTTCGAAGGGTCATTCGGGTGAGTGGGTTTAGGGCTCCAAACAAATAAGAAAGGATAAATAGTCAAACAAAACTGACCTTTTGCGATCATTCTCGTCATTTAAATTGATAAAAACAAATCAGATCACTACTATGGAAAACGTAAATACACCCTCAAGGGTTCCAGATTTGATGCCAATGGTGGAGCCTTTGTTATCATTAGAAGCCCTACATTTCATCCCAGGATCTACAGGTATCTCTGCACTTGTTGATGCACAAATTCAATCTGCAAGCAAGGCATGCCAGAAAGAAAAAAAAAAAGTCTTTGTTGTTCAAACAACAACAAAACTGAAAATAGCCAATAAACAAAAATCAGGACTTCTGGAAAAATGTTCTCTGGACAGAACAAATCAAAAACAGCCNCAGTCTTCACTCCAATCAGAACCGCTGTATGATAGAAGCTAATCAATGGGACGCAAAACTGATTATCAGCAGGGGCCTCATGTACAAAGACTTGCGTGGATTTCATACTGAAACCTGGCGTACGCTTCAATCCTGAAAACTGCGTACGCACAAAAAAATCCAGATGAACGAAAGTGAGCGTACGCCGGAATTCAAGCACATTTCCTTTGTACATCTCACTCAGCGTGGAATTGACCGCACATGTTGGAGTACCAGACTCCTCCCTCTCCACGCCCTCAATTTAAATATGCAAGTTAGTATAAACAGGGCCGACAGGTGGGATTCCCCGCTCTGCAAGATCAGATAATAGCAACCAGGATGAACTCACCCCGTTTGAGCGGAGAGTCGCCGCTATTGTGGGTGACACTGCTCTCATAGGGGTGGTGGGAGCACACGTAGGTCACTCAGATCCCCCCAAGGTAAATATTTATTGTGTAACTCACAGATTTATTCATTATACGGCTCATACAATAATCTGCTCACAGCCAAACAAGATACAGGTTCTTGCATAATCATGCCAGGATATCAAAGAGGAAATCAAAACTTTGTCTCATGTCAGATTACTCAATTTATCATTTTCCAACAGACAATGAGGCAGGAGAAGACTGTGAGACGCAGTCCCAGCCTCGTATCCCAGACCCGCGGGATTCCTCCAGCCTCCCCGGCGTCAGCCGATCCTCCGGTCCGCCGCAACAGGCAGCTGCTGATGCCCGTCCGGGGCGCACATCAATGCATGTCGGGGGGATTAATATTAGGACAATGCCAGCTTGTAGCCTGTTCTCAACCATACTGTTGGTCAGAATGTGTTTTGATCAAGGCCGCCTTGCAACAACGTTACTTAATTGTATTTGCTCATCACAGATGATCTGTACACTGATTTAATAAAAAAAAAATGCCTCCTGTTTACATAAACACATGCATCTTGTGATGGTGCCTCTATAGCAATGTGTGTGCAGTCGATAGCTCCGATTACAACAGGAAAACCGGCCGTCGCTACAAATTGCACTTTTATGTCGTCCTGTTCAACTGCACTGTGGGAATTTGATGTATCTGGCTGACATTCGGATGGTTCCAACCCACACGGCTGGCACGGCTCTGCTCACTGTCGACTGGCACAGTCCCGGTCGGTCGGCCATCTCCCTCTGAAATGACCCTGTGGCTAAGAAGCCCAGTGTGGTCAGCACCTGTATGGGCACAGGTAGGACATGGCTCCTGGCCGTGTTGCGCTCCAATACTGGCCGCAGCTCCGCGCACATTTCTAAGCGAATTGCCCTCGGGAACGTAAAGCGGCTGATGAGCCAGTCGTCGTCCTGAGGTCTCTGGAAACCCGTTCTCTTGGCACTGCTCCATTGGCAATATCCTCCAACAGGTCCAAAGCTGCCGTTGTTGTTAACGGTGTCTTCTGCACCATTTTAGGTCAACTTATAAATCCACTCATCTGATTGCAAACACCTGGGTGTGTTAAGTGTTCATCTTAGTGTCTCTGATGTGCACATCACTTTGAGGAATTACCTTTTTTTATATTGTTTTTTTACATTTTTATATTCCCAGCATCACCTCTAAGTGTCGCCAACGGCTAAAAAGCAATAGAAACGTGCGTACGCCAGTCAAGAAGTTGGCGTGGAGGACCGCACATTTCCACGTTCATTTCACTCTTGATACATCTGAACGTGAGCGTGGATAAGTGCGTACGCCAAGTTTTTGTGCGTATGCACGCTTTGTACATGAGGCCCCAGGAGTTCATGTCTGCTCGCACTTAATAAATAAATGATGAAATAACACGAGGAGAAACGAAGACGCAGATAAACATACTGGATGACTGACTAAATGTATGCAAATAAAACTCTGAACGGCCTGCATGAGTGAAAGTTGTTTTACTATGAAAAGTTATTTGAGAGACCTCAGGCCCCGCCCCCTTCACAAAAACTACCTCGGTTTGCCTCCTGGCGTCCCAATCTGACCTGCATTCAAAGCCCTACACACATCATAAAGACATAAACATGCCCTGACATAAAGCCGCAGGCCTCAAGCCTTAAAGGAGTCTTCATAAAACGTTAATTACTGAGCATGGTGGAGATTCTGGGGAAGGCGGACCGGGGGAGCCACTTCCATGAAGCTTTCAAAACTCTTAGGAATGAAAGTGAGGGGCAAAAAATAGCTACGCGAGGTGGAAGCTGGAAGCCGGCGCCACGCAGCGATTCTGGCATCGCCCGGCTGCTGGCTGTGTCGGAGGCAGAAGAACGTGCCGGGACGCGACTCGTACACGCCGTCGGCTGCTGTTCTGGAAGAGCCGTGCAAATGGCAAGCAAACGCCGTGCAAATGGAAAGTAAACACGAGTAGAACAGCTGATTCCACTGATTAGAATAGTAGAGATTTAAGCTAAAGAGAGAAATTAGCTGCTGCAGTGTTTGGAGGGAAAAGGCCGGTTCCTTTAACCTACAGATCTTTACAAACTGCTGAAACTTCACTGGAAGGGAAAGCAAGCAACCGTCATGCACAAACTGGCACGTCTTTTGGGAGACGTGCGATAAATCTAAACGTCCTGCGGAAAATGAAGTGCGAGTGTTTTCAGACATGAGCATGGAAGCGACTTGAGTGCAGCGGGTCAGAAAATCTGCCGGGAATGTAATGAAATTGACTTTCATCAGCAGTTAGCAAAGCCTGTTGATGTGTGGTCTTTTATCTCTGTGAGGACCCATTTGACTTCTTCTTAGATCCTCACAGTGAGCATATGATTGGAAAATGAGGACATTTTGGAAAAGTTTTGCCTGGTCCTCAATATCATTGCGCTGTTTGAGAAGTTTGACATTTTATGTACACAGAAGAAGACTGCAGAAGACACATGATGCCCATAAATTAATCATTTATATTCTCAAATTATTATGTCTTTACAACAATCCTTTCTGCACCAATAAATCTTCACAGCTGCAGCTCCTGAACCAGGAAACTGACTTTAATTTTATGATCTATCCACAGTATCATTCCATATTTTTGCTTTTTCTTCGATAATAAAATAAAGGATGTTGAGAAAGAATAAAGTTGTGTTTGACAGTCACATTGGAAGTATATCCATGTACATTAGTTTAACCCTCTTAACCTTAAAACTCTGACAGGTTTAAAAGCCAGTTATCTTTAAAAACAAACAAACAAAAAAAAACAATGCAAAAATTACATTATTTATCAACCATCAACTAAAAAAAATCAGCTAAAATAGGAAAAAAAATGTTGGATTGTCTACTTTCTGACGGTCATTGAACTCATCATGTTTGACTTTCAGTTTTGTTTAGAAAAATAAATAAATTTAAGCTTTAATTGTGATTTTTCATCAACATCTACATTCCGAATTGAACAATTTTCCAAAAATATTTGCATATATCTGCACATATCTGGCAAAAAAAAATTAAAAAAAAAAAAGATTTTGGCTCCTTGGTGCAAAAGTAAAGCCATGAGTGAGTCAGCAACATTATGTAACAGTTGCATAACAAAAATGTGAAGACTTTTCAGCTAAACTGGGTTGAACTGCAGGCTGTGTGTAGAGAAGAAGCTGTAAATACCAACAGTATGGGGATAGGTTTTTTTTTTTTTTCCAGTATTGGTAACACCAGTGGGCATCAGGCTTTTACAACTTTTTGTTAACTAAATAATCAAAGAAAGTCAGCTTTTTTTATATATATTTTTTGCATGATTCATGGTATTTAACTGTATCATAGTACACAGAGGTCCCATCTGAGTTCTCTCTACTTCTAGTCATTGTTTAACTATTTCTATCGACGTGCTGGATTTATATTGAAGTAAAACCAAATAAAAGTAAATCAAAAGATGCAGAAACTACTTGGAGTTCTGAGGGTTAAGATCCAAAATAAGACACTTCATGCACAGCAAGGCAGCTTTTCAGCCTGCTGCTGGGAACTCTAGGTGAAGGAGGGAATGAACGAAGCACATGTGAGGGCTGTTTTATTATTCAGGTGCTGTTTGTGGAGGTGACTGAGACTCACATGTGGTCTGCTGGCTGGTCATCGGGTCGCTGGCCTCCTCCCCGTACATGGCGTAAACAGTCACCGTGTACTCGGTCGCTGGAGTCAAACCCTCCAGCTCCACCTCGTTCACCGAGTCCGACACCTTCACCTGCACAAACACACAAACACACACACACACACAGCATGAAGGTATTTGCCTTTAGCAGAACGAGGATGCATTTTTTTTTTTTATACCTCTTGTCTTATCTTTTCCATGTATCTCATCCATCTGTCTGTTTATCTGTCCTATCATCTATCTCTCTGCATATCTACGCTTCCACTGTATCAACCGCACTCCTGTCCTGACAAGCAGAGAATCAAGCTGCGGTTGCATAACATGATTTCTGAATGTGGCTTGTTGCTCTGAGAAGCAGGTGGGATCGATCGGGCTCCTTAAAACTATGTGCCTCGTGCTCAGAGCTGCAGCATGCAGTCAAACAGGCGGTGGAGATGGTGCAACTGTAGGGATTTAGAGAACAATTTGTTTCAGAATTCCCTCAAGCTGCTGGGTTATTCCACCTCAATTCACCAAATTTTAAAGAAAAGTTCATGCCTGGCGATCTCATATTTATCCGATTTTTTGTTTTTTTCTGTGCTTGTTAGCAAGTAAAACGTGTCAGATTTTCAGTCACAGGTGGTAACTCTGCCATAAAATTACTTGAAGCTGTCACGGTCCAGTTACTATACATGGTTATATGCTCTGAAATACATGTTGCAGAGGAAAATATATTGAATTCTAAAAAAATTGGGTCGCAACCTAATGACCATGGGAAAATGTGGGTCCCAGGGTGAGACCAGTTGAGAACCCCTGCTCTAAATTTTTAAAGCTCCTACTGGTGGCAATCCATATATGTACAG